TATATATATATATATATATATATATATTTACATATATACATATATAGATAAATTTTTCCGCCAAACGGAGCCATTATTTCTGACTTTCACATTCATCGATTTTAGGCACTAGAAAATGTTAACAAAGTCTCAGTACTTTATCTTCCTTGCAGCAGTTTCTGAAGGGAACTTATTTCGAGAATATATCTAGATACCAGAATATGTTATTGTTAATAACTAATTATTAAATATCCTGCATATCACACTTTTAATTCCATCGCCAAGTGAACGGATCAGATATGAAAATTTCTATGCTTATATTATTCAATACGTATATACAATTTAAACGTATATACAATTTAAACATTTACAGTAAAAACATTTAATAATACTATAACGAAAAAATTAAATTCAATGGTGTTTAATATCTCTTTCTTTCTTTAGTGACACCAAACAAGGTAGCTATTATATGTATTATTTTGTAATGTGTGTCTTTGGGCTATTGTTAAATATGTTCCTGTAAAATAGTATATCCATAATTCTAATATAAAATACTGCAACATTTAATTCTTCTTCTTCTTGTATATTTTCTCTACTAGAAAATTCGAAAAATGAATTATTACACACATGCGACTCACAACAGCGTGAGATTTTCCTTTTTATAATATAGTACAGAATAAATTTATTTCTTGCATTGTTTAGATATAGTATATTGCTCAAAAAGTTTATTCTTTTATAGTAAAAGAGCCTCAAAATGCATGTCGTGATAAAATTCATCAAAATTTAAATGTAACATGTTATAACTCATTTAAAACTATCGTATCAAATGTGACGTGACACAAGACATATAAAGTTGACAAATATAAGTGCTTATATAAAAAAACAGTGTACAAAATTTTCCTTTATTATTTAATTAATGTGATATGCACATAATTAACATGTGCATTCTTGTATGCATCTGCATATTTCGTACATATTTCAAACGCGTCTAAATTATTATCAGTTTTTACATAAGTATTTTAGCACAAAAATGACCAAATAAAAAATGTTATAATACAAAGTGCTATTTATAGTATGATGATGTCGATGTACATTAAAAGAAATTATTACTAATTTATATTATAAATGTCGTGAATATATATGTCGAGAAAATTTACTAGCTTGTCTCTCTGCTCGAATATTAAAAAAATATCTTATTATGGCAATGCACGTATTTGGTCAACGTATAACACGAGATGTAGTAAGATGCACTTATTTACAATAGGCTACACATTTCTTGGGGTATATATTAATTTTTGGATTTATCGTAATTTATATCATCGTAATTAAATAACTATTAATAAAGCAAAACTATTGAGGAATACTGCATCTTTTTTGCGCGTACACTGTACTTTTATATAATATACAATTAATTTAATTTGTACTCTCTTAACATATTTTTCCAAAGAGATATAGAGGGACGAGGGGACGGGAGTTTTGAAAAATTAAAAGCAAAACTTACTGGAATTGAAACCAGTAATACTGAATCATAGTCGCTACCGTGCGAACTTTATGACTTCACATTAAGTTTCTGATTACAGTCGTGTACTTACTTACTTTCGAAAATTGTGATCAGGGAAGGTTCAGAACATTATACAAATTTTCGGAGCGATCAATCTCCTACGTCAGAATCGCCGTCGCCTATGGCATAAAGAATGTGGAAGGCAATTCCAAGGAGGGCAGTTCCTATTAGGTCGCCAGCCGCTGTTAGATATGGTATCGCGGAACTGTCAGGGTCCATACCCCTTGTCCACATCCAAACAACCATCAATTGTGCAATATATAACAATAAAATTACCTGAAAATAAAACATATTTGACCAATTTCTTTTTTAACTTTAGCTAATGCTATTTCCGAATTTATAAATATAAAATGTAATTTAATAAGAATATCTCTATATATTTATAATAAAATATTCCACATCAAATACATATCATATTAAACATTAATATTTACTTGTAACATTGCAGCGATCAAATATATCGTAATAAATATAGGCGTGAAGGAGGTATGGCCTGCTTGAATATAACTAATGGTATAACTAAAAATCAAATGCCCTGGTATCACCATCATTAGCAACACTCTAGCTGTTCTTGCATGTCCTCCTATAACGAAAATCTCTTGTTGCATTTGCGAATACAATATTACATGTGCATTCACGGTAAGCAATCTACCTTTAGCAAAGAACGCGTGGAATGGACTGATGCAAACATTGGGTGTTGTTTTAACACCCGTTTGGCAGTCCTTATGTAAAGATGTTGATATTCTACTGGCCTGAACAGCGACTAAATTCCCTCCGACACCATTAATCACTAATTGGAAAACCGCTATGCCCTTGTAACTCGATATGGTATAATCCAAGATCAGTCCACCGAGACTGAAATCAAATCAATGTTACTCGTTTGAGTCATTTGTCTCATGAAATCTTACATCAAATTACATCTTACATCACAGATCGTGTGTTTACCTGCTAATCAACATCGCGGATATCACAGGCGTCCAGCCGGTATCCAAAACTTCTTTAGTGAATGGATTCCTGGCTGCTATGTAACCCCATACAGGAGTTGCCAATACACAAAATATTATTAATAGCGGTGCTATCCATGGAGCGTTACCTGAAGAAAATTATATTCATTCGTTAATATCAAAATATCGCAAAGGTGAAAGATGTGTAAGCCGATTAATAGTTGTACCTATCGCATCGTATAACAGAGAAGCGATCCACGATAAAAGAGCTAAAGTAGTTAAGTCGCCTAAGGAGGCCGCGATTGGAGTAGCGACGTTGTCGGGATTGATGTTCATTTGCCGCGACAGTAGTATTACCGCGACCATCACGAGGCCTAGCAGGAAACTGGCTACGGAGGCAGTGATCAAGGCGCTGGCGCACAGCAGAAGCCCGTGGTGCATATCGAAATGAGCCTCAGGGACCCAGCCGAGGACGATGGCAGCCAACGATGCCAGCAGACCCACCACCATAGCCTGGCACTGGATTAAGGCCAAGTTACCGACGATCAACGTCCACTTCTGTTTCTTCGTGTCCATTTGACCTAAATTAGCTTGGGTCGACAATCTGGAGGCTAACGTCATCTCCAGATTTCCTTTCAGACCCAATAGTGCAGGAACTAATATATACACTTCCGATACCACCTGATATACTGGCCAGTGCTGAAATTCCGCGACTTCGGATTATCAATTCTTGCAGATTGAAGTAGAATAAAAAATAATTAATAAGACGACAGCAAATAGTTGTTTTTGAAAAAAAATATATACTATTGATGGAAAAAAATTATTAAACTAACAATTTCTAAAAATTAATTCAATACCTGCACTACGTCTAACAGCAAGCTAGCAGCCACCATGCCGAAACCGGCGAGCAGGAAAGGTATGAACATCTGAATGGAGATAGACCAGACACTTTCATCGTCCACTACGTTTTCCGGCTCGCTCCTTCTCAGATCATCCTTTTTGCTGCCCGGATCGACAAAGACAATGCCGACTGGCGATGGTATCAATCGCTGCATATCACCTCCGCCTTCACCCTCATCCTCGGAGCTGATCTCCAACTCCATAGGGGTATCGGCGATATTTGAAACAAATAATTCTTCATTGCCTAATCCCACCATTTTATCAGGCGGCGAGATCTTTTCTGGTTTTCTGTGACGGATTTTGTTTTGTTTAGGGTAATCTTGCGTCTTCGCATGGTACATTATCGTTAGCTTCCTTCTCGTGGATCACCGACGAGTACTGCTGCCGACAAGCGAGATTATATTTCATTAAAGCGACCGCGAAAGTTCAGTCGCGAGACGTCTACTAACAAATAATCTACGTTTAGCACTATTTATAGTTTATTTTCGCTGTATTTTATCGGTAAACGATACATCGCGGAATAATTACAGATAATTTAATTTCGATAGCACGATTATTTAAGTCATCTTAAATTAATGTTTCATCAGGAACAAACACTGTGATACGTATGCATAGTCACGCAGTCTTCCTTTCAGTTTGTCATCGATAAAACTTAAAATGCGAGTAAAATAATCTGATGAAAAATGTAATTAACAGTAGATTGTTATTATATTATTAACAAAAAATTATATTATATTATATTATTAACAAATCGACAAATTGAAACTAGGTTACCTCATAGCGCGCCCATATCAATACTTGGAATATATTTAAAAATATACTTTTTTTTGCGACACTGATAGTACTGTTATCTAACTGTGGCGGTGAGTTGGACAGCTAAAGCTACGTAAGCGACCGCTCTAGCCCGTTCTATACAGCTGGTTCTAATTTAGAACCAGAGCCGTTGATTCTGCAAGTCGCTGATTTCTTTTCTTTCCTTTTTTATTAGACGGCATTATATAACGCGCTCACGTGCATATGTGATTCTCAGAAACACGTCGTGCGAAGAAGAAGCTCATGTTATCGACTCAATGGTCCTGTTACAACGATTCGAAAGCGAATACACTTGCGACACATTCCGATGTCTACGAGAAATCGGGTAAAAATCATCGCAGCATAAAAAAATGTTCCGACATATATTTAAATTAAACGTAAAAAATACGTAAAATTACGTAAAAAATAATGAGGAGAGTAATAAAATGATGATATTGTGACAAAATTATGCAAAATGCAGCATTTAAAACTGTAGAATGGAGATAAAAATTTGCGACGTTGTCTCATTATGGAATATGTGACATATCCGTTGCATGCACACAATATCGTCAAGGTTTCGCATATGTAAACAATACACGACGCTTATCGCTACACTCGGATAATTCCACGCGTAATAAAAGCGAATAAATTTCGATCGCGAATCGCTGATGGTCGGTCTGCCGAGTCAAAATATAAAATATCGCGCGTGCACATTTTTATAAAGTATTCTTTGGCCGTAAATCTGATCACGACATACGTGTATTACGAGGAAATGAACCAGATTATAATCGCTATCGTACAAACATAAATAAATATGCGATATCACTTCGTAAACACAGTGCATACAAATGAGGTGAGCCATACAAAAACGTGTAATCAACACTGATTGCCATTAAATTGATTATCACTATCAGAACATCCGGCAAGTACGAAAAATATATTCAATTAATAATTAATAACATAGTCTCTCGTATAATTTTATCTTTCTGAAGCAACGTTACCGCAGTTTTCCTTATCTCATTTGCAATTCCAAGTGAGATTCTTTCGAAAACATTCCAATGTATTCCTCTCTTGTACGAAATCTACATCTGTTCTTGGTTCCAAATATGCACAAATATGCGCAGTGCTCGACCCGATAATCTCCGTAGGTAAATACCAATATTATATTGTTTGATTGCACACACGTTTTGTCTCAAAATTGCCGTTACATCGTCGTGTTGTCGCGGAAAGTCTTACAGAAAGTTGGGATGTTTTGGTGAAAAAGCAAATCTTTTCGCTCCCGCGAGCGTCTTGACAGCCCGGTTGCCATAACCTCAAAATGCACCACGTACCTCGAATACGCAGCAATCTTTCTTCGCGTGCTCCTCCATCGGCCGACCATAAGCGTGGCTTCCGTCAGTAATATTCTGGATGCTTGAATTACTTTCTCGAAGTATTTTGACAACTTTCTGGCCAATCCCTCTGAACCTCCACGAGCAGTACCACGTATTTACTCGCACCGCAAACTACACTATCGACATATCGCGCGCTTGTTCGACACTATCGATATTGCAGGACTCTCGAATCGCAGTTGGGAGCGAGAATCGAAGCGTCTCCTCAGTGCTGGCCGACTTCGCGAATGTACGGTGCTTCTTTTTTTTGCATTATCGAACGAAATTAAATAAACGCGAGACTAATGTATATGAAAAATATCTTATATGTATGTATATCTACACAATAGAACTGTCTAAATGTTCTGGAAACGCTCGGAAAGCTCGGGAGACGTCTATGTTTCCAGTATTGAACGTTATGCACTTGGTGAGTTTACTATATTTCGTATCAAAGATCAATTTCCTTCATAAAATTTCACAGAAAGCGCCAATATTAGCGTATTTTTGACAACGTCGCACTTGATTATCGCAGGTGTGTGCGTTAATTAACCTCAAACTTGCTACCGATATAAGGTCGTTTTTCGCATAGCTGTGGCATCGGAAATCGAACATACATGTATATAGTGAGTTGCGAAACGGTTTAGACACGATGAAGTTGGAAACTCACCAAAATTGAAAATTATTACTGACGGTCTTGCCTAGTAATTATATATTAACAATAATAGTAATAATAATTAAATATTATTACTATTATTTATCATTATTATTATTCTTGATCATATTAATCATATTATTATTATATAAGTCCGTCGGTAATGATTTCCAATTTTTGTAATTTGGTGAGCGTCTAACTTCATTGGATTTAAACCGTTTTATAACTTACTATTCATAGTATG